CAGGAATGCATTTGAAGAGAGGTGAACAAAGCACACCACTTTGTTTCAGGAGCTATTTGCAGATAAACAGATGATCTCCGAAGTTCTGAGGCTTTTTTTTTTTTAGTGTTAATTCCAAGAAGGCAATTCTAATCTAAAATCCATGCAGATTTTGTTAACAGGATACTTATCTTCCTTAGCCAGGCTAAGGAAACGTGGGGGAAGAGGGAAATTTTATGATGACAGTGGTTATTTGCAAAAAGTGGGAATTATCCCTTGCATGCTAGACATAGCCAGAACTTACAGGGAGTTTTGGATATGCAAAATATGAACTATGAATGTACTGTCTTTCTGCATAGGTAACATCCTTGGTGTCATACGTGATCATCAGAAGCTGGTCAACACCTTTCGGATCATGCGTCGGGCAGGGTATATCAATGAGTTTGTTTCCATCTCTACAAATCTTTCTGACAGATGTGTCTATATTTCCTCTGATGGAGGGAGATTGTGCAGGTAAGTGTCTCATCAAAACGATCTCATCTGTATCGGGCCTTTATGCACGTAAAATACAGAGGGTTGGGTATGCAGACCTAAGCACGTGATCTGTATTCAACTGCAGTAGGACTTGAGAATCTCTTTTCTCCGTAACTCTGGTTTAAGGCTGACAGATCAGGGAAACATACCATGTAGTCCATTATTTAAAAAAAAAAAAATGAATGAACAGCTTTACATTTTAAACAAGTTGGAACCAAATGTTGCTTCCATCTTCTAACCAAAAGGGAAGAAAAATCAACCTGATGTGCAATAATATCCTATGTCCTGCAATTTTTTTTTCTCCCTATATAAAAATACCACAGTCCAGAAGCAAGAAACTAGCAGTTTACTCACCTAATATCCTATCAACCTTGATACCACATTGTAGGATCAGAAGCTGTTCTCTGCCTTTAGACAGGTTCTCTTTACTCCTGGTGCAATGTTTTCTTTGATGCATGCCTGCTTACCATAATAACAAGGAAATAGGCTCTCTCAATTTTGATTTATTTCTTTGCTTGCCCTTACCAGGCAGGGAATGTTCTGCTTTGAAATGCTTAATTTCTGGAGAGTATAAGCTGGAGAGTATGCCTGAGTAACAGTCACAGCACAGAGGAGAACAGGAAGGAGTTGGATGGCTAAAACAGGAAAGATGGGAATATAATGGTATTTTGAGGCAGAAAATTAAGTTGTACTGTAGTAAGCACTAGAGACCCACAGTGGCTGCACTGTGCCGGGTTACTTGAAACTGTAACATCTCTGGGCCCAAGCAATTTAGCCTAAAGGACAGACATAACAGATGAACAAAAAAAAAAGAGATTGGGGGAGGCAGAATGACTTAATCCATACATATTTAAGCATTGACTGGTTGTACACGTGCTTTAGGACAAGTAATAGTCAAATCTAAAGTTGACATTCCTCCTCATTCAGTTACTGAAACTCCAAAGAGAGGACATTGAGTGCAGTTTGAGGCACTGTAGGGGCCCCAGATTTTACACATATGAGCCGTCAGTTGATCATACCTGGTCAAGACACCCAGGTGTGGGTGCAAATTAAAAGGGAGGGAAATGGCTTCTTCAGTCAGGGTGAAAACTGGCTATTCTGCACATCTGGGGTGCAGTGAAGCTTCCGATATGTGTTCCAACTTAGGAAAGACAAGTGAAATCCTGTGGATTTCCAGGAGCTCACCAAGTTTGCTTTGTGACCTCCCTCCCGCCCAGCAATTGTTCACATCCCCCTCTTAACCACTTTAAAGGGCTCATTAGTCTTCAAACAGTTATTTAGACTTCAGAGCAGACTCCACAAGTATCTTGTAGCTATTTGCTGCTCTTTACAAGAGCAACTTGTCCAAATAGCAACAGCCCTTGACGTTTCATTCTCGCATGCCATCCTTTGTGTCCGTGTTTCCTTGCGGTAAGGAAGCCTTCAGAGATCCATGTGCTGTTGAAATTTAAGGATTCGTCTGGTGCAAACCTATAGTAAGTGCCTGTACTTTGTATCTGTATCATGTAAGTAACAGCAAAATGCGTTCTTGCACAACCGGAGCACAACTCTTTTCTCAGTGTTGTGGGAAGCACCTGCCATATCCCTAGAACTTAATGCTGTTCTTAGGCTTGTAGATCGAGAAGGCTTGATTCTTCCAAAGTCATCGCTAAAAAGAGCAGGCGAAACTTAGAAAGGTTAAAGAGAATGTTAGCTAAAGATTGGGGAAAAAAACCCTCTCCCTCAAAACAGGAATCTTAGTGCTCTTGGTATAATTTTAAATATGTTGAACAAAATAAATCAGTTCAGGAAATCTGTGTATCAACCCAAAATCTGTATTTTCCAAACTGACAGCGTTTATTGACTCTGTTTATGTAGCTGCATCAGGTAAAGGTGGATAAATTGTGAAAGTGATTGTAAGCATTATATCATTAGGTGGTGTATGCAGTGGTGGTATTAGGTGGGTATGCAGTATCCTCAGTACAAGAGAAGTTACCTGCCTGTGTATTTGCTATGACAACTTTTTTTTTTTAATTGTAGACCTTATATAATTGTAAAAAAGCAAAAACCTGCAGTTACAAACAAGCATATGGAAGAACTAGCTCAAGGATACAGGTAAATAATTTGAGTATATTGCATTCATCTTCAGATCAGTCTGTAAATATTAGGTGAATCTACTTCAGTCATTCTGTTGTTTTGCAGGGTTATTTAGCTATGTCAGAAAGTCTGCTTTCCCATGTTAATTAGTAGTCAGTATCAGAGTTTTTTGGGTTTTTTTTAATCCAATGAAAAAGAGACTAGTCTTCGTGGATTTTAGTGATATGAAATTGGGTGATTACATAGAATAAATATATATATATATAGCAGAGCCTCATCTTTCCACAGCTTTGGAGGCCTGATAAAACGTTACACTTCTACTGAAAATCAAACACTTTTTAGGAGTGTCACCATGACCACCATAAACTAAACATATTCAGAGACTACTGGAAAAAATTGGTTTTGTATGTTGAAAACCTGCCATGTTTAAACAAAAGCTTTTAGGTTTAGCTTTAAAAATGTATTGCAAAATTATCCCCCAAAACTTGCTTACACTTATACTTGCCTTCCTTTACAGTGGTGATGTGTGCATTTAGGGATATTTTGCTAAGTTGTTCAAATAAGTCACATCAGTCCGTTTGTGTCAGGGGGGAATGGGCAAAGGATTTTGATCAAAAAATAGGCAATTTTCTTTTAAAGATCAAAATCCACAGAGGTTTTCATGCAAAACCATTTCTCTACTTTAACTACTCATTACATTCCTCTAACATATGTAGCAATTTTACTTTTTCAGAAATAAAGACTTTTTTCAGAAATATAAGAAGAGACAATAATTTTAGTGAATTTTATTTTTATGTATGTATTTATTTATTTAACTATAGGAATTTTGAAGACTTTTTGCATGAAGGCCTTGTTGAATATTTGGATGTAAACGAAGAAAATGACTGCAACATTGCACTATACGAACATACAATTAATAAGTAAGTGTGTGATTAGATTAAGCCCTGGTATGGAAAAAGTGTTCTGTGGACCTCCAATAAACCAGTGGGAAGAAATGATGCCAAGATAACTGTCAAAAGTTTAGGAAATTGCTGTATTGTCCATAAACTTGTGTAACCGAAGTAATTGTAATTAATAGTGCTGTAAGAATCTGAATTTGCTCCTTATGAGCACATCATTCTTTGTGTTTAGTAATAATATCCCCTACCTTTTGGTGTTGGTTTGTGTACCCCCTTCCCTGCTGATCATCTGGAGTTTTAAAAAAATGCAGCCATGTTGGTACAATTGTAAATTGTATTTATACAACTGGAAAGATCCGCTTGTGTGAGGTAAAAAAACCTGCTATTGTAATGCAGGCTTCTTTGAGCTACAGTTACCTCTCTTTACCATTCCAATCCAAATAAGTGCTTTTTTTTTTTTTTGAGGATTTGCCTCTTTTTAGTATGTTCAGTTTCTTCCTTATCCATTTGTAGCTCTCTTTTTTCAAACTCATGGAGTTGTCTTCCTTTCTAGTGTTCATTTCCAGCAGTGGTATTTTAACTTGCAGATATTGGACTGCTCTGTAAACTTTGATAGCCTCTCCTGTGAAATACGCTTTTAGATATTAGGATCTGATTATTTTGCATCTTCCTCAAGTAGGATTGACTTCAATGGAAAAGCATTTGTGCTGGATTTGATCTTCTCTGAAAATGCATATGTTAACTGCATGTACCAGGACCTTCTGAAGAAATTCTTAATTTCACTGCCACTGTGTTCTTAAGGCAGCAACATGTGTCCATAATTCTGGGAGGCTCTGCAGAATGGGAGAGGTGTCCATACTCTAAGCTTACTGATATCTCTTGAGACCACTTTGGAATTGCTTTTGGGATTCAACCACTCTTATTTTCTTACAGCAGATCTTAATTGAGCATGGCTGATTCTTTTTTTCAAGTGGAGAAAAATAGTGGTTGCCCTCTGGCCAGCCGGGGATTTTTAGTACCTTTGTGATTTATACAGATGTGTGGGACTGCTAGATAGCTTAACTACACTTGCTACTCAGGGTTTTAATTTATCAGTACATATATTGTTAAGCTGCTCCCTGTTTTCTTTAGTCCGAATGTATAGAATAATCCTTCAGCATTTTAGGGATTGTGATGCTTTCTAAAATCTTTCAAGTGTTGTCATAATAAAGATTATTTTCTCCAGTCATTTTTTTGCAAAAACTTAAAGTTTAGTAATCAATTTAATGTCTTTAGTTCAAAAAAAAAAAAAAAACGAACTTGCAAGTAGTTGAGTATTGAGCGTTGAAGATGGGTTTTTCCAAGAGTGCAGTGGGTTTAGGTGTGTTGGAAAAGCAACATTATGCCTAAACCCGAATTCTGTTTAATAACTGCAGAATATCATAAAGATATGTTTTGCATGTATTTAGTTTTAAATTGTCTTTATTTCAGAGTTCCCCATTTCCTGGTTACCTGTTTTGATTTAAAAAGCAGAATTGCTCGTCTTGCTATCCCTGTATCCCAGGGCTGTTACAGTCTAGTTACCTCTGCTGAGCATGCGCTTTTTCCTCTGAAGCTAATGCAAGATAGAAGAGGTTGTGCATTGACACCCCTCAGTCTTGACTTCCTTTCCCTGTCTCTCTTATTTCGCATCAGTAACACCTTTTAACACATAATCGTTTCCAAAATACAGAAATAGCAAATGTTTTACTGTGCCGGATCAGCCATGGCACTGGATGTTGTTTGGACATGATATGTTCTCCGTAACTAACGTTATATAACCTTGAAAAATTAAACTTTCACTCCCCCCCCCCCCCAATACCGGAATGTCCCTTCTTCCTCCTTCCATCTCCCCTGCAATTCCTAGTTTTCTAAGATAGCTAACTGGATGCAGAGGACTCTCATTACATGCAAAGACATTCCTTAAGGACATTTTTACTGTGACTTACTGCATAAGGTGCAGGGGAGTCCCCCCCCACCACCACCTCGAGTCGTTACCTAAAAGCTTATTCTCCCTGGTGGAACATTTTGTGCTTGTTCTTTTCTTATGGGAACACTAAAATAAAAAAAAATAATAAAAAAAAAGTTGATTAAAGAGCGCAGTAAATCCATATTCTGAGATCTTACTGACTGGTGGCTTGAACAGGGGTAAATTAGATTGGTAACTGCTGAAGCAAATGAAAGATAGTTCATGAATCTGTTATAATTGGTATTTCTTTCTTTTAAGAGATACAACACATTTGGAGATTGAGCCTTTCACGCTTCTCGGTGTCTGTGCTGGGCTGATTCCGTATCCTCACCACAACCAGTCCCCGAGGAACACTTACCAGTGTGCCATGGGGAAGCAAGCAATGGGTAAGGCTTTTTTGATTCCTGTTCGGAGGGCCATCGTGGTTTTGAAAGCTATACTGGGAAAGTGACAAAGCGGAGAACTTCTTTCTTTCCTAATTTATGTAGAAACTTTACTAGAAGAGTAAAAGCACATGCTTCAGCTTAGGGAAAGTAAGGAGAAATTACCTCTTAAAAAAAAAGGAGTAAAAAAGGAAGAAGTGAAAGTGAATTTTGCAAAATGGAGGCCACGTCTGTGGGTCTCAGCGTTTCAAAAGAGAATTTGAAGAGACCGTGGCACTGCTGATGTTTTTGTTAGTTTAGTTTTTGCGATAACTGCCATGACTTTCAAGTTTTCAGCATAGCTGGAGGATTGGCAGAGTATGGTTGGGTTTTTTATTCTTTTTTTTTCTTTTTATGCTGCTATGTGTGGTGAGTTTCCAAACAAAAAGAGTAAAAAAGTGTTTTCACAAAGAGAGACAGAGAGCGACAGAGAATGCAGGGAGAAGAGACTTTCCCTGAATAATTGAGTAGTTGTCCTTAAAGGGGGAAAAAAAAAAAAAAAGAAAGAAGAAGGTTATATTGACATTATGTAATGGAGGAATGAAAATGTGAAAGAGTTTTTAGTTACTTGACCACTTCTCCAACTGGTGGATTAGATATTAGGCTTTTGTTTGTTTGTTTTGGATGCTGAGGGCAATTAATGACCTCCCAGCAAATCGCTGAAACAAGGTTCATTTCCCAGTTATTTAATAATAATATTTAATAATTTAATAAGTGGTGTGGTAAGTGGTCAGTGTAAAATCAAAACAGAGCACGTCAGCAGTGCAGTACGTGGGTGGGTGGGTTATGGACACGAGGGAGGTGCTGATCCCTCCTGTGGCGCTCGGGCCGCCGTAGCGATTCCTGTGGGCGCTGAGGCCGTCGCCAGCGGCACCGCGAGGCCTGCGGCGGAGGCAGAGCGAGTCCCAGCAGGAGGATGAGGCAGCAAATACACCGAGAGCCTGAGCAGCAGCAGCGGGGATACCCCGGCGCTGGGTCCCGTGTGGGCAGCTCGCGCAGGGCGGGAGGTGCCTGCGTCAGGAGAAGAACCGGCGCCTCTGCTGAGCCCAGCGTCCCCGCGGCTCGGACGGAGCAGCCCTTGTGGGGCCTCGCCAGGAGCATCGAGAGCAGCAGGGCTGCCCTGCGCTGAACCGGCGTGTTCAACGCGGCCCAGTAGCAGAAAGCAGCAACAGATGCATTTCCCTCCTGAAAAAAAAAATAAAAACAAGGAAAAGAGAAGAAAGAGAGGGATGCGCTCTTCTTCCTTACAGTTCTCCTGTGCCATTATCCTTCCCCCAGCCCCGAGTCTCTATTTTATGACTATTAGTCTCAGAGCGTTTGGTTAGTTGCCACACACAGTTAAGCAGGATCAGTGTGTACAGAAAGCCAATTCAGTATCTGTGGAGTTCTTTTGTAGTTTGCTGTGTGAAGGTTTTTTTCCCGTTTTGTTTTGAGTGTCATTTGCAATTCATTGTCTGTGTTTTCTGAGGTTGGTGTATTCAGCTGCTTTGACCCTAGGTCTTGCACATTTAGCTCCTTGGATACAATCCTCTGAAGTTCCCGCTGACGCCAGGAACACAAAAGCCATTGAATATCCTTAGCAATAAAAAAAGTCTTTGTTTTGGTTTGTTATGACAAAACACCTGACTCAAAGAATAAGCAGCTAGATAAAAGTATGTTTTAAAAGTTGGCACATGACCCGGGCTATATTTCACCATGCCTGAAGTACCTACAAACACCTGAACCTGTTATTACTAAGTGTTTAAAAAAAAAAAAAAAAGTTGCCCTATATAGGAGCAGAAGGATATTTATGTGCAGCTACTGATCAAGTAAGACGTAGAGGATATTTCAGAATCAGTTTGAACATACATTTTCTCTGTTGGCATGTATGAGGAGACCCAGAGCAGCGCTTCAGAGCTCATGAGCTTGTTTTCATGTGAGCGTCCACCCTTCCCTTCTGCATCCCCAGGTTGCAGGCCAGCCCCTGGCTGTCCGCGTGGAAAGGCTCATGGCCAAGTCCAGCTTGTCACTCCCCAGGCTGTCAAACCCTGGGGGCACGGAGAGAGTCCAGGGGCTCCTGCTCGGAAATAGAGCCGCGTGTTGCTCAACACTGACCCCCTCTGACCACATCGAGCATCTGTGCTAATGGCTTTGGAGGGTCTTCGTGCTCTTTTTTCAGAAACAGCCATCACAGGGGAAGATGTGAAGGCACAGGTAAATGAAGGGCCATCACCAGTGCTTGCAAGGGGATCCATAATGCAGCATCACTGACAGATACTAAGTATTAAAATATAAATGTTCTGCGGAGTACGTTAAATGTGCTCTGAAAAGTATCTTTCATGTTCAGAGTGAGTCACCTTGCTTCAGGATGAGGGCTGCGCTTAGTAAGCAGGCTGGATTTCTGAGAAGGGATGCGAGCCCATATTATGATAGTGCAGGAAAATCTACTGTGTGTTGCAGGTCGTACTGTGAGACTAGGAGTGCATTAAGACGAGGTAGCAAATACACCTGTTACTGCAAGGTCCTCTGCTGAGCAGAAGGGTGACTTGTGAGTGCAAAGGTAACATTAAAAGTTCAGCGCCTGAGAAATATTCAAGGTTAAAATACAAGAACCTCTGCTGTTTGCTGTCTGTGTGTTGCTAAAATAATGTTTAAAAGGATCAAGGGGTCCTAAAATAGAAAAATAACCATGGATGCTGGCGTAGCCCAGCTGCATGCTGCCCTTCCTACATGAGTAGGGGGATGCAAGTGTCCATGAGGAAGGGAGCCCCAGGGTGCTGCCTATTCCTTTTGCAACCTGCGGGAGAGGGTGCAGGGAAGGCAGAGATGCAGGGTGAGGGGGAGCTTATAGCTGCACATGTCTAAATCGAAACAAGTTCTTTAACAGTAAAAAAAAAAAAAAAAAAAAAAAAAAAAGCCACTGTAACACATCTTCATTGCTCTGCGAGACAGCGAAGCTCTTGGTGTACTATTTTGCCTTGTGATGTAACTGCTTGAATGTCTTGAAGCTGTGCTGAGAAGGCAGCTCTGCCCCAAGGAGCAGAGGCCGGGAGCTGTTGGTTTTCCACGGTTGCGGGGGACTTTCTCGTGGGCCGAGAGCTAAAGCCCTCCCAGCGTTTTCACCCATGGCAGGGAACCGAATGACTCATGGAAGCAGGAGCAGTAACTGCTGGTGCTCACAGCCGGGTGCTCTGCGCCGCTCCGTGGGGCTCCCTCCCGCCGCCGCTCCGTGGGGAATTGCGCCCTGGGACACGTTCGCTTCCCGCCAGCCCTTCCCTCCCCAGCAGCAGCACGGAGGCGCCGGGGCTGACGCGGGCCAGGCCTGCGTGCTCCTCTCCCGGCTTACCCATAATCTCTAAAACTGACTTCTTAATCTTCTAAGGGTGGGAAGAGTATTCCAAATGCCCAGTGTCCTGATCGGTTAAGACTTTTAAAATGAAGCTCCCTGTGGGCTGAGTTGTAGCCTCCCTGCAAGGTTCAGTGCAGCCATTAAGAGCGATGCCCCTTTCTCGGTTGGTTCGTGCTCGTACAAAAGGAGAGAACAGTAGAAAATCCATGGTGAAATCAAGGGAAATAGAGAAGTACAGCAGTTCTTCTCTTGGCATGTGCAATAACAGCCCTTTTGGCTCGTATCTAGCATTGCTTTATTTCTGTACCCTTGTTAACTTTGACCATGCAATTCACTTTTTCTGTAAGTATTATCCCAGGGAATGGGGTAAATGTTTTTTTCTCTCTGACTGTTCTCTCAAGTTCTGGAAACGTGTCTAACTAGAATAACAGAAATATCTCATTTCTGCTAAATATCTATATAGGCTATTTGTGTAGTAGTTATTTCACACTGAACAATAATCAAGTGACAATTAAATGGAAAAAAAAATCTTGCTGAGAAATGAAGAAAGGAAAGAATGTGCGCATGTATTCACAATATACTAAGCACTGAGAAGCAAGAAAATGATCTTTGTTGTATCCAGGCCAGCCTTGTGTGTTTTGCTTTAAACAGGGCTAATTACCTATGAGAAAAATTGGTTCTTGCCGTAGGCATGATTGTAAACATGGGTCATTGTGAACAGGGTTTGTTATGGTGAAGTTTAATTATACTTCGCTTTTTCTTGGCTGTTTGGCTGAAGCAAACAAGGGCTCTGTTCTTTCAGAGAGAAAACCGAAATAAAGCTCGTGGCTTCCTTCATGTCAGCCCACACAGAGGTCTTGTCTTGACACATGAGTCCTCAGAAGGAGGTCTGTGTTTTAGCTAAGCAGGTTGGGGTTTAAGATTGTGGTTCGTTAGGCCTGCCTAGAGAAGGCATTATTTATGTAATCATTAAATCATAGCAGCTTAGGAGAGATATTTCCAATGTATAGCACGCTTTTTGGCTACCTTGTTTCATTTGTGCTCTTGAATCATTCTCTAACCAGTTTCTTTCCCATCGGGATGCCCTCCATTGTATATCTGTGCGTTTTCCATGTGACATGCTGCAGCATTGACCTCCTGAGTAATGGTGGGAATGCAGTTTAATAATGAAGCTCAAAAACCGGTAGTGTTATCAGTCACTTACGGCTGCTGGTCTCATAGATCCAAACAGTTCTGCGAGGCTCATTTGAACCTCTGATAAAAATAATAACTTTGAAATATAAGCAGCATTGTTTATTCCGAGATGGAAGTAATGTGCTCTCTTGAATTACCTGAAATATGAAAAGATATTGGCTATAATCTTTAACCTGTAAGGAACTACTTCAGACTGTTACTAGATGAGAAAAGGACAAGTTTGGCTATGGTCAGAGCTCTAGACTTTATCCTGTTTTAGTGTCCCTGACCAGCAATCCATAGCACATGTAGCATGAAGCATCCCTGAGGAGGGAAAAAAAGCACAGGCATTTCAGAAGAGAATAAGGTGACTGGTGTAGCGAGGAGAAGGTCTCTCTCAACAACAGGAAAAAGTACCTAACCTTAAAACTCTCACGTGAGTTCTACAGCAGACACCCTACGTTGAAAGCACACTATTTATTTTAGGTATGCAGGAGAAAATGGCCTAAAACTCTGAGGATTTTCATTTGATGGTAGATACCTGCTGCTCTGTAGTGAGAAAAAGGTTTTTTTGAAAGTGTAATGAAAACATGTCTATTGCTTAAGCAGAGGGAATGGCAAAGGTGGAAAGACGTTGAGGTGGTGATGGGCTTTGGTGGGGACGGGGATGGTCCTCACTGTTGACAAATTTAGGCCCTACCCGCTGCAGACAGCAAATACTGCTCAGGGTCAATTATTTCCTTCAAGAAGAAGACGGAAAAGCAAATGTTCAATAGTAAGGGACGGGTAGAGCTTTACCAAACCTTCCTTGGCTTTAGTAATGCTGTGCCAATGGCTTCAGGTCCACTTTCTAGAGCCAAGGAAAGCCCAAGAGCACAAGAGTGTGCCTGGAATCCGGTTTAAAAGATCCGAGTTGGGGATATTCTCTGCCGAGGCATTTCCCTGCGCCCTCCCTCGGGAAGGGTTCGAACTAGAGCAGTGGTAGTTGAGGAGAAGGTTTATGAGCACCAAGGACAGGGCAGGTCTTCAGAGCTGCCCGTGATCCTGGCTGGTTTTAGGCATTTGTTTTCCTGGTGTTTTATTTCAATGTGGACATTTGGAAATTGCAGAGCCTTCTGCTTGTGTGAAGTCTTCATTATATACTGTCCGCTTTGACTTTTCCCTGCAAACAACCAGCCCCTGAAACCGCAGGAGGAGCTGCAGTCGTTTAGAAGGACTTACCTCCAGAGCACGAGTGCTCTAAAATACCCAGTTCTTAAAAGTTCGGTGTAGTTAAAACTTTAACTTTGGAGATTATAATTTCTTAATTGCTTAGAGACATAGCATCGGCCTGGTGCGGCAAACTGTAATAACGTATGATTGCCTTTACTTTTGTTCTGCTACGCAACAGTTTATGTTTCCCTGCTGGGTGTTAATTATTTTTTCCTCCGATTTCAGAAGACACTTTGGCAGCCTGATGGGACTGGGCCAAAAAATTCAGTCTCAAGCTGGGAGGTCTATACAAAGGACTGGATTCTGAACCATAAATTTAAAATTAATTTCATGTAAAAAGACAAATATATTGAGAGCGAACTTCTACTGTAGTCTTTCTAGCAGTGATGCCTCTAATTTCGGAAAGTAAATCAGTCTTGGCTGCTGCTAACTGTGTGCTTTGTTCATGCTTTGTGACATTCTAACACAGGCTGCTGTTGAACTAATTATTGCCCAGAAAAAGGAAGGAAATATGATGTGGAAGACACAGAGTTTGATCCAGAGTTCCTCTTGAGCTCAATGGGAGTCTTTCTATTGCTTCTGATGAATTTTGGATCAGGTTTATGGAATAGAGTTTCTTCTCTCTTTCTCTCTCTCTTTCAAGGAAAAAAAAAGAAAAAACAGAATTATTGCTGTCAGAATGGTGAAAGTAAACTTCTTTCCGGAAGCTTAAATTCAGTGACCATATAAAGCTTTATTTAAATGTAACAGTGTACAGTTGTTTTGGTTCAATCTCTCTTATATTTTTTTCCGTCATTTCCTTGAAGACTTTCCATTATTAGACAAGGCTTCTCCCTTAGTGAGGAATTTGGTAATTTATAGCTAAAACATTTCTAGCAAACTCAGAGGCAAGTCTTTGTTCCCCCCGTACAGGTACTATTGGCTACAATCAAAGGAACAGGATAGATACTCTTATGTATCTCTTGGCATATCCCCAAAAACCGATGGTGAAAACAAAAACGATTGAACTGATCGATTTTGAGAAACTGCCGGCTGGACAGAACGCCACAGTGGCCGTCATGAGTTACAGCGGCTACGATATCGAAGATGCTCTTGTCCTGAACAAGGCCTCTTTGGACAGAGGTAAGAACCATCCATCTCTTCTTTGCCACTTCTCTCACGTGTGTTTAATAATCTTGTGGTCTCCCGTTTCCTCCTATAACATTTTGCTGCTGCTATGGACAGTGCATCTCCGAGCAGGAGATAGAATCAAAACTGTTTTGGTGCTTACGTTTGTTCTCCTCATGATGGCGAGTGGCCCTAATCCCGGGCTTACAGTGCAGCAGTGGTGCAGTTGCAAAGATGTGAATACACTTGTGAGTTATTATTGGGTATTGTAAGAGGAAATGGCTTGCTTTCAACCTTAAATAACACAGGATAAACGGTCCTTTTCTGAAAATATTTAGCTTACATAAAAATGTAGATAATGTAGATAATCTGGTGTCTGGGGCTTTCTTTTTAGCTGGTTACTTGAGCCTTTGTTCATTGCTAACAGAGAGAGGGCTTGTTATTTTCCCCAATATTGAAAGCAATAGGTGAAATTAGACTTTGGAATACATTCAGAAAAAGAATGACACATGGTGCCTTGTGTTACTATGAGCTTGTTGCTCTGAGGGAAAATAATAGTATTGCCTCAAACTAATGCACTGTATATTTTTAAGGGGAACTAATTATCTGCTTCCTTCTTTAAAAAATAGTGTTTAATGTCTTTTAAGTAAACGTACATAATCCCCAAATGGAAGATAATTAAGTGAAATCTGTATTTGTACCATGCTGGCCTGTGTCAGTCACACTCCACAGTTCTTCAGCAGTTCTTGGAATCAAGAAAAAATCAGTGTCAACGTTGTTGGGCATTGAGGGAGAGTTGTTTGAAAATCTAGTCTCTCCCTCAATAAATTCCCTTCAGGAAAGATGCAACATTGCGGTACGGTCGGAATAGTTTTAGTTTTGGGTAACTAAAATCAGATTCTTCAAAGAATTTATTCTCTAAACGCACACCCTTCTTCCTAGTTGCTAGGCAGCAATAATAGTATTCCTAGACATGTATCTTTGGCATTAATGTCCTGCCACATTTAATTTATGCCTCCTTTTCTAAAACAACAACAGGCGTGATTTAAAACTGAATGTTTTCTTTTCTGGTAGACTGGTAACGTTTACAGGGAGCGCTGTGACGCTTGTCAGGAGTTACTTGACATAATATAAAGATAAAGATGTACTGTATGTGGCCATGGCCATCTTTCAATTGAACAGAAATAACATAGGTTTATTAGTAAGCTCTTGGCTGTCTCTAATTTTAAATACGATGCAAGGGGTTAGCATTGCTGTACCAAGAGAAATCTCTAGAGATGCTGCTTTTCTTACCTAAAAAGCAAAACGAAACTGTTTTGTATCAATGTATGTAATTCAGACATCTTTCAGCTGGAAAATAAGTGATACTGTAGTGATTCCGTGACACAATCAATAGGGTCTTTCCTGGTAAGTTAGCTGGTAGCATTATTAGAAGTTCAGGTTTCTTAGGACCTCAGAAAAGAAGTGGTGCTCTTCTGATCCCCTTTAAAATCTTTCCTTCTCCTGTGAGACATCTCCTGTGAACCAGCAAAGGTAAGAAAAATGTTGTGTGCGTGTGTGTGCAGAAATATAGAGGAAGGGAATGTGCAAAATTACAGAATTCAGAGTCTAATGTCTAAAAAATAGCATGCATGATCTGATTTTAAATTGTGAGCTACTAGATATCTTTGTGTTATGTTGAACTTATTTTGCACAATAAATACTCATAACTATTAAAATATATTCTATATTCTCTAGCTAAGCAGATAATTCAACATTTTTGTTTTATTTTGAGAATGTGTTACCAATAAATTAGGGGCTTGTAGACAGATGAGCTTGTGTTAAATTTTAGGATTTGGAAGGTGTCTTGTGTATAAAAATGCCAAGTGTACTCTGAAGCGTTACACCAATCAGACATTTGATAAAGTCATGGGACCCATGTTGGATGCAGCTACACGAAAACCAATCTGGCGCCACGAAATTTTAGATGCTGATGGCATCTGCTCACCAGGTATGTCAAACTGCATGTTTGTTCACAGCATATATGGAATCCGTGGTAGAAATTAGTATTCTGTTAATATTGAATGCCTTGTTTTATATTTGGTGTATTTTTCTCTTGAAGGGGACATTACTATAAGAGATGATTAAAACCCCCAGCGCTATTCTCTGAAAACACCATGGTACCTGTCACTGTCTGCTGTTGTGCATGATGAAAGAGAACTCTATGTTTATGTAGAAGTGGTTATATTGTGAGTCCTCAACAATGGGACTCTATTAAAACCTTAGAACTTTTGCTCTTCTTACACCCCCAACCTTTTAATATTGTGGACGTTTACTGCTTACTTGTCATATATTATATTTTTTTCTTTTAAGGGTAGATTCCTTACTATTTTGATTTGTATATCCCCACTTTCTAAAATACAGTCAGTTAACACTGACAGTGAGGAAAGCAAGCAGTGTGTTTGTATCACTTTAGAAATACGTTTTCAGAGAGAAAATAAGAAAATAAACACACCTGCATTTAGTTACAAGGATAGGTGTGTAACTTGCCCATGCAAATAAATATGAGAAGGACGCCCCCATACTGGCATCCTTCAACAAGGAGGCAATTTTATAGATGCTGAGATCTAGTGGCAGAGGTAAAAGACACTAAACTAAACCCCACTATAGCAGCTCAGTTATTACAAAACTGTTAAATTGGATCAGTGTTACTCTTTAACATATCAGGGTGGAGTTCAGCTTTCTAAATTAATAAAAAAGTCAGTAAAAGTCAGTAGTCCACTATTAGGACAGATAGGACAGATTAGACAGATAGAAATATTAGGACAGATAGGACTGATGCAGGCTCTGGTTGGATTGTTCTTCTCAGTGGATAAACAAACCCTTTTTGAACCCTTCCTGAAATAATTTAAGTGGACAGAGAAGAGACAGAGGCTGCGGTTTGGTGTAATTATGTGTGCATGGGGAGGCAGGTACTTGGTGGACTTGATGCACATTAGTTTTGCTGGACGTGCTATGGATCTGTTCTCCTGTGTGAAGGGAATGGAGGGGAGAAATCGCCAATGGAGAAGAGCAGAAGCCATAGGAAGGTGCAGGCAGGGAAGGCGAGACTAGAGGGGGGTCTCACACAACTCACTCTGCAAATTGTGTGAAGTCCTGAATTTTAGATGCGAATTTCCAAAACTCGTTAGTTTAAGTTTGCTTGTTAAGTTTGCTTTTTATGGCAGATGACTTCAGATTTTTTTTGTATTCTTTAGTTTCATGGTGTGTTGAATAGTGTTATTTTTAGTTATTATTACTATTTACTTACTTTTCGTGCACAAAAACACATTTTTTAGTGTTTTTAGTACCATCAAGACATACAAGCAGCTCTTCTTTTGTTGGTGTTGTATTCTAGATTAATGATTCCTCTACTGTGCAATATTCAATAAAATAATAGGGTCTTATTCTGCATGTATTGCTTACAGTTTATCTTCTTATATACCTTTCTAAAGCCTAAAATATATTTCTAACATAGGTAGCCAGGTGCATTTTCATGATGCTTTTTTTTCTCTCTTCTTTGTAGGTGAAAAAGTAGAAAATAAGCAAGTGCTTGTGAACAAATCCATGCCAACTGTGACCCAGACACCTCTGGAAGGAAGCAATGTGCCTCAGCAGCCACAGTACAAAGATGTGCCAGTAACGTATGTTGCATCATAACTTTGTATTTGAGGAAGGTAGCCCAGAGGAAAGATATGTGAGGAAGTGTTCAATCCTAGAAAAGCCAAGGAAATGAGCTGCCTTCTGCAGATTAGAAACAGTCTTGTAGGTCTTGATTTTTCACAGGGTGTTTTGGGGCCTAGGTAATTTTCAGAAGTGAATAGCCACTTATAATTCCTGATAATTTGGGTCCTGACACCTGAAAAGCTGGAGCTGCAAAGACAGAGAGGAACTGTCTTGAAGATGTGTGGAGAAGAATCACTGAGGCGTTTCCTAAGAGAAACTGAGGAAAGAGTGAAGACAGTGGTAGAAGGGAGAGGAACCATGTCTAGGTAAAGTGGTGAGGAAACAAGGATGAGTGAGAGGGTGGACATTATGTGTGTGTTTAGAGGGAGCTGGGTAGCAGCTCTTCCATAGCAGCTCCCAAAGAAAATGGCCAGTACTGATCCCTGCTCAGCCTTCCCCCTGGTGCACAGGAGGGCAGGGGTTGGAGGTCTTCCTGTTCCAGAGACTGATGGTCACCTCATTCTGGCCACTCTGAGTACATGTCCTTTCCTAAGGCACCAAGGAATGGGAAAGCACAGGCAATAAGGATTTTTCTCTTTGTATCCAGAAAGAAGAGAGGGCTTCCGAGGTGGAAGGTGAAAGCTTTGCATTAACATTAAAAAAAAAGGGGGGTGCACTCTTTTGTCAGGAATTGCCACAGAGCAAGACAAGCAGCTGGTGCCCACGTTTGCAATTCTGTGATCCGTAACCAGTAGAAAACTCTAGGTAGATGCCTGTGAAATATTAGTTAAGAAGTGAAGCAACAGTGTAATTATCAAGAAAGGAAAGAAGTGGTTGTGCCAGCTAAAAGCATGAATCCTGGCCTCAGGGTCTGTGTCTGACCAACTTAGCTACTGCAACATCAGACAAAATAACCTCCTAAACTGAGCAGTGACGTCTGCCAGTCTGTTCTACCATCATTCTGCAGTGTAAGGAAAGAAAAGCTGATGCAAACATAATTTCCTTTTACTTCCTACTCTTTCCTACTATTTTTCTTGAATATCTACATCTGCTACAGAAACTCGGCTTTCAAACCCTCAAAACATTCCAGAGTTCCTGTCCCCATGTTACATTCTGGCCATGCTTCATTTCTAGACCTGTACCTGATGCATAGCTTTAGTCAAGATATTAAATCTTAATTTTATTCTTAAGTTGTCATAGGATATTCCTTAAGCTCCCTTCAGCTATGAGCCTCTGCTTGGCTTTTGGTTGCTTATTTAATAGAAGAACCAGAAATTTGCAATATACTAGGAATTTTCTTTGGTCAAGAAAAGACCATGTGGCAAAACATACTTTGTTCTTTTCTCTTTCATCTTAATTCTTGACTTGTTTATACTTATCTTTTAATCCTTTTCCAGAAATATTGTGTACTCTTCAACTGTTCGTTGTATCCATACATATGTGTAGGAGGCCAAGGAAGCAAAGATAAGATGTCCCAGAAGCTTACCAATACATAAATATATTTGTTTATAATCCGTGTTTGTATCACAAATGTCAAGGTTGTGCTTTTTTCTCCTTTCACTAGCTACAAAGGTGCAACCGATTCTTATATCGAAAAGGTTATGATTTCGTCAAATGCAGAGGATGCTTTTTTGATCAAAATGTTACTGAGGCAAACTAGACGTCCCGAAATTGGAGATAAGTTTAGCAGTCGTCACGGGCAGAAGGGTAAGCTATATATTTAGTCAAAATAAATGCACACTGGGTATGCATACTTTACATATATAATACAATCATGCATATTTCTATTCATTGGTTCCAGTCTTTCCTGAATGCAGTGGTAGAAGACCGTAGTCCTCTTTGGTTAAGTTTGCCTAATTCAGCAAGGTTGTTTTTGGAAATGAGGGAGGAATAGGCAAGCACAGCTTTGTGTTGATTTATAAATACGAAAAATGTGGCAATTGCCTATAATAACCCAGGGTTTTGAAGTTTTGTTTTTGCTTTGGATTATTTGGGGGTTTTGATTTGTTTTTGGATAATAAGTTTGTCATGGTTAACAAGAAGGATAGAAGAGGTAAGAGTCAGAGGGCCAAGATTGAATGGACAAAAAACACTACAGCGGGAAAGGGATGTTGCTAAGTCATTTCTACAGACATACTGCTAAAACTGAGAGTTGAAAATGGGTTGCTGCTTGGTAACATATAGCTCTCTAGTATTGGCAGTTAATTTTATAGTCAGGAAAATCAGGAACTTGTTTCCATGTCTGTTGATGGTGGTAATGGACTGAATCCCTTTGACCTTAACGGCAACAAACCATGGCTCGGAACATCCTCTCTGAATCTCAGCAGACTGGGTAATGTTAAGGAAAAACTGACTGAAAAAAGTGTGACTGTAAATTACTTCTATTTTTTTTGATCTTCTTGGTCTCACTGTGAAACTAGTTTTTGTTAAAATTAGTGTTTTCAATTTACACATGCAGTTGGAAAATCTGTAATTTCAGTCCTTTCAGCATGATCTGCTGCTTTACTGTATCCCTCACTGTGCCCAACACCTTAATGTTGTAATCTTGTTTCATATTTAAGTCTTCTTTTGGTTTGAAAACATTGCTTGATCTCGTGTCAAAGACACTGGGGTGGTAAAGGATGCTACTAAATCCTTTCAATTGCAGTAGAGACGCTCCTTTCTAGATACTGGGCAAACATGATACTATGTTATTAATTGCTGGAATAAATAATCCTTACTTCCTTATTTTGATTTCTGAAGAACAGGAACCAGAACATTCAATGTAAAGCACCAGCCTCTTCATTCTAGTGACACAAGGATCTGCTAGGCCTGTGTTGAGGAGACAGAGAGGGAGTCATTAGAGGTGAGGAAGTAATGAAGAACACTGGTTAGAGGTGAAGTGTTGGTTCTTGCAATCAGTTCTAGTCGATGAGAGTTGCTGTAATAGCTACACTGGTGACATGAGTTGAGGGCCATTATCTGGCAAACGAACTGGCAGTTCTTGAGCACTGCTCTTTGTCAGCAAATGCCTGAAAGAGAGGGTGCTTTTGGTTAGGAAGAGCTCCCCGTTACTGTCCCCCTCAGCATTTATGTCCTGGTTTTGCCACCAGTCCTTCTCCAGTCCTTGACTCAGATGGCTCTGAACTTCCTGTGCCAATCCAGATCCCGTGTTCTTGGAGTAGACCGGGGAGCCGTGCCCTGGAGTCAAACAGCAGAGAGCTGGGACTTGCACAACATCCTTGTGGAGATCTGAGCCAGTGAAACAAGATGAAACTGCAGTAAATGTCATCAGAAGACAGAATCACAGTGATGGGAAGGGACCCCTGGAGATCATCTGGTCTCACCCCTTGCTCAAGCAGAGTTACTTAGAGCAGGTTGCCCGGGACTGTGTCCGGTTGGATTTTGAATGTCTCCAAGGATGGAGACTCCACACTCTCTGGGGACAACCCGTTCCAGTGCTTGGACATCATCACAGTGAAGAAGCTTTTTCTTACGTTCAAGTTGAGTTTCCTGTGTTTCTATGTGTGCCCTTTGCCTTTCACCCTGTCACTGGGCATCACTGAGAAGAGTTTGGCCCTGCCTTCTTTCCACCCTCTTTTCAGATGTTTGTGGGTGTTTGTAAGATGTCCCCCAGAGCCTAATCCTCTCCAGGCTAAGCAGAGGGCAGTAGCCAGCTATAGATCTGTTTTACCTGGAGCTTAAGCAGTATCATCTCCAGCATTTCCATGCCTGTGTGATTGAAGGGGGCATGAAGAGCACAGCTGACAGAGGGGGCCCAAGGCACAAGTAAGAAGTCATCTGTATAATGTTCCATGCCACCGTTTACTGTTATTCACGTGTGTACCTAGAGGCCAAGCCAAACTTGAGGCCTTTTTTTTTAATTATTATTTTTGACTTGCTAGGGCAATGGAAGTACCAGTGGCAACAGCGAGGCCAGGTGACTGGAGTGGAAGACTGCATCATAGAAAGATGAGATGGGTACAAAAGGCAATAGCTGTTGGTAATGTAAGATGTTACCAGGTGCATTGCTTCACGTTCTTTGTGGATGTTTCCCATGGAGTGGAGTCAACACAGATTTTCTCAGAGTAGCCAGTTCTCTTCAAGATCCCTCTACTTCTACAGGTGTGCAAACATCTTCCCATAGACCCATCAAATTGACTTTGGGAACTTTTCTTGCATGAAAAATTAAAGCAGATAAGATTTTTTCCTAGCTTGTGCTATTGATGTGCACCTTTAGAAATGGTTAGTTGAGTGGGATTTAAATAGAAGTGATCTTCATACTTCTCCAAAAATCAAAAAAAGAGTATTCCATAAATCCAGAACCATAAAGGAGAAGAAGGAGAAATGAAGGAACACTGCAAGAGAACTGAAGGGCATAGGGCAGGCTGCAAGAACGCAGTCTGGCTTTAAGATGCAGTGTTTTCTGTAAGAGCTAAATGCAAAGCAAGGCATCCCCTCGTCTAGAGGAAGCTCATTTCAGAGGTACTCAAGGACAGGCATCTCACTAGTGCTGATTCTTGCTACTTATCAAACCCTGATATGCAGGGTCAAATACAGTACTAGAATATGCTGTTACATTCTTTAATATCTGGAAATCCACAGAACACTAGCGGTGTTTTTTCTAAAGTGAAAATCCCATGGGAGAT